TTGTAAAACTTTTGCTTATTTTGTAGTATTCCTGACCTTTTCCTGAAAAGACCCTCCCTGTCAACATCTAAGAAATTTTACTAATTTCATTTGTGCCTGGGATTCTAAGGTATTGAGAGCTCATCCTATGAACATGGCCATGACCAATTAACATACTGATAAAAAGTAAAGATGAAGAGGAGATGCCATCCTCCTGCCTCATCAGTTTAAATGCTGAGAAGCCTGAAGCAGAGCTCTCCCTACCCCCACTTAGTGGAAAAAGCATCCCAGAAAGAAACACAAAAGAATAGAGATGAAATGTCAGATTGCATGGCGTCCACCAGCAGATGCTGTGCTGTGCATGAGTGTGTGACCTCATGGGCTTGGAAGATAAGCCCTGGGGGAGCTGAACTGGCACAAATTGGGATGGAAAGCAGGGCTGAAAACAAATGGTAGCTTCTTTCTTACCCTTATGACCAGTTGGTTTTAGAACAGGTCTTGTGGATGTCACTGAATAAATGCGAAATCCCAGAACATGTAAGTGTGCATTATGTTATTTCTATGCTAAAGGGTATGTGGTGTGTTCATATGGATTATTTGTGCCCAACCTGTGGTGGAGCCTTTTGATCTCCTATTGGTGTGATCAGCCATAACAGACAAACTGTACCTTGACCCCAACATAGTGATGTTATTTTGGTCTTCTTTGAGAACAAAGGATAATAACCAACCAACCAACAATGTATGTATCTAAGGAGACTAGTGAGGAATAAGGACAATAAAAAGGGGAATCAGATATAAGATTTGCAGCTTGAAATGGATGGTAAAATAATAGTGAGTGACAGATAGAGAATTGAGCTTTTTAGGCCTTAGTGCTTGTTTTTATTTTTGTTTTTGCCAAGGAAGAATCATATTTGAATTGGAAATAACAGAAGAAAAATAGGTAATAGGGAGTTAATAATCTTATAGGAGGAAGGAAAACACCTAAGTGCCATTGATAAATACAAGTCATCAGCCAAGATTAACTCTATCCCAGGTTGCTGAAAGAACCTAATATAAATGAGTGCCAAGTTACTCTTGATGCTTTTGAATGATTGTGAAGAACGGGAGAGGCTGAAGAACTAGAGAAGAACATTTGTTGTCATGAATTTCAGAAAAAAATAGATTCCATAAACTCTGGGCCAATTTCTTGGCACAATTCTAGAATACATCATTAAATGGAGAGTTTGTTGTTCAGTCATTTTCAGTTGTATCTGACTCTTTGTGATCCCATTTGGGCTTTTTTGGGCAAAGATGGTTTGCCATTTCCTACTCTAGCTTATTTTACATATGAGGAAACTGAGGCAAACAGGTGACTTGCTTAGGGTCACACTGCTAGTAAGTGTCTCAGGCAGATTTGAACTCAGGAAGATGAGTCTTCCTGACTCCAGGCCCGGCACTGTAGGCATCACCTAAGCTGCCAGATGGAGAGTCGTTGACCACCTTAAAAAAAGGAGGCAGCAATTGCAGGAATCACTATGGATTTATCAAAAATAAGTCATGGCAACTATACTATAAAAAATGAAGGGCTAGTTTCTGAAAAACCTGGAAAGACTTGTATAAACTGATGTGAAGTGAAGTGAGTAGAACCAGGAGAACACTTTTTGCAAAGACAGCGATATCGTGAAGTCAAACCTATTTGAAAGGCTTAGGAACTCTGATCAAAGTAACTTATTCCAGTAGACTCATGATGAAACATGTTACTGACCTCTGATAGAAAGCTAAAAGATTCGAAGTGCAAAATGAGACTTTTCTTTTTTTAGACATGGCCAATGGGGGAATTTGTTTCACTCTACTATACATGTTTATGATAAGGTTTTGTTTTTCTTTCTTCCTCAGTTGAAGATGGGGAGGGCTGGGAGGGAAAGAAAGCAGATTTTTGCCGATTAAAAAATTTTAGTTTGATTTTAAGAGATTTGTTGAATATGAAAAGAAAATGAATGAGTATGTGAACTGAGGCAGAGTGAAGTGAGCAGAAGTAGAACAGTTTATACAATAACAACAGTGTTGTAAAGACAAACTATAAGAAACTTAAAAACAATGATCAGTGTGATTAACCAACAGTTCCAGAGGACTGATCATGCTATCCACTTCTGACAGACAGGTGACAGATTCAGGGTGCAGAATGAGACACTATTGGTTTCTTTTAACATGATGATTGCAGGAATTTGTTTTGTTTGTCTATGTGTATTTGTTACAAGGATTTTGGTTTTTTTTTCCCCCCAGTCTTATGTGTCTATGTGTATTTATTACAAGGATTTTGGGGTTTTTTTTTTCCCCCAGTGGGAAACGGGGAGGTAGGAGGGAAGGAAAATAGAATTTTTTTAGATTAGGTAAGTGCAAGGAAGAAAAGAACAGGTCATGGCAGAGTGAACTCATTTTCTTTTGTGACAAGGTTTGCTAGACTGATGGATTAGGGAATGCTTAGTTTACCAGGCTTTTAGCAAAATGTCTAACTAAATGTTTCATACTATTTTTGTAGACAAGATGAGGAGATGTGGGTTGTTGTTCAGTCGTGTCTGACTGATGACCCCCAGACCTTACTGTACATGAAGCCAAATTTGAACTTGGGTCTTCCTGACTCCAGGCCCAACACTCTATCCACTGAGCCATCTAGCTGCCTCAGGAGATGAGTACATAATAATAAAGTTAAGTGAATTCTACTTATTCAAATAACCAGACCCCAAAGGATGATTTCACATCAGCTTGGAAAGCAGTTTCTAGTGGAGTACAATAGAGTTCTAGGCTTGTCTCTGTGCTTTTTAAAGTATTTTTGTCAATTACTTGGATAAAGACATAGATAACATGCTTAATCAAATTTATAGATAACATATAGCTGTGAAGGATAACTAACACTGAACAATCAGTCAGCCAGTAAATATTTAAGTGCTAAGTACCTAATATGCACCAAACGCTTTACTAAACACTGGAGATACAAAAAGGCAAAAGACAGTCCCTGCCTTTAAGGAGCTCACAGTTTAATGGAGGAGACAACAAGCAAACAACTATGTACAAGCAGCTATGTAGAGGATAAATAAGAAATAGTTAAAAGAGGGAAGGCACTAGAATATAAGAGAGGGGGTAAGAAAGTCTCCCTGTAGAAGATAAGATTTTAATTGGGATTTAAAGGAAGCCAGTAGGCAGAGATGAGGAAACATGTTCCAGGCACAGGGGACAGCCAGAGAAAATGCCCAGGGCAGAGAGATGGACTGTATCAGGGGTGGGAAACCTTTTTATTAAGGTTTATTAAAGTGGGGAATCCTTTTATTAAGGGGATAATAGTAATAGGATAATTAATAAAAAATAATAAAATTAATAAAAGGATTTGTTCTGTGAAGTTTGGATTCAGTCAAAGGGCTGCACTTGTGGATCTAGAGGGCCACATGTCGCCTCAAGGCCACAGGTTACCCACCCCTGGATTATTGTTCATGGAGCAGGTCACTGGACTGAAGAGAATATGGTGGGGAATAAAGTGTGAGAAGAGTGGAAAGATAGAAGGGGGCTTGATTATGAAGAGCTTTGAATGCCAAACAGAGGATTTTGTATTTGATCCTGGATGTAATAGGGAGCCAGTCAAGTTCATTGAGTAGGGGGGTATAGAATAGTTGAACCTGCACTTTAAGAAAATCACTTTGGCAGCTTAATGGAGGATGGATTGGAGTGAGGAGAAATTTGAGGCAGGATAACCCATCAATGGGCTGTTGTAGTAATGCAGGCATGAGTTGATGAAGGTCTGCACTAGAGTGGTGGCAATATCAAGAGAGGAGAAGGAGAGTGTATTCAAAAAATGTTTCAAATATGAAATCAGCAGGCCTTGGCAACAGATTGGATGTGGGAGGTGAGAGATAGTGAGGCTAGCCTCCTAGGTTGAGAGAGCCTGAGGGACTGGGAGGTTGTAGTGGAAAATTTTTGTACCAAAAGAAACAACCAATATGTAGAATTCAGAAAAGTGGAGGAAGACTTTTATGAACTGATACAATATGAAACAGAGTCAAGAGAATAATATACATGACTACAATGATGTAAACAACAACAAAAAGTCCACTAAAAAAAACTAAAACTAAACTCAGATTGTATTGGCCAGCCTTGGTCCAGAACAAATAAAACATTTCTCTCATGTAGAGAGATGAGGAGATTACAGGTGCAGTGTATGTGTGTACATGATAGTCGTGTCAATTAATTTTGCTCAGTTATCTCTATTATTGGTGTAGCATATGCCTGTTATCTCTGCTACCAAGGAGACTAAGGCTGTTGGACTGATTGAATTTGGGAGTTCTGAACTGCAGAGGGCTAAAGTGGTTGAATGTCCACACTAACTCTAGCAATAGTCTAGTGATCCCCCAGGAGAGGGGGTACAGCAGGCTGCTGAAGGAGGTACAACCTTGTCCAGTTGGAAATGGAGAAGGTCAAAGCTTCCATTAGTAGATGCTAATTTTCTAGCTTGGATAAGTTAAAAAGGCTTGCATTAAAAAAAGAAATGGTGTTTTTTTTTTTTTAAGCATCATTTAAGCTTTTAAAAAGGCCATGACACTACAGGTCATCCCAGCCCTCCTCCTTATTGTAATATGAGTGACCTGAGTAAAACACCAGTTGGAAACCCTATCTGGATGCATGATTCTCAACAAGAAAGGAACCATGTAGATTGGCAAACATTTGACACTATCTCTGGAGGGAACTGATCCCTTCTGTGGCACAGACCAGTCATTCATATATTTAGAATGTTCATAAATCAAGTGTTGGTAAGGAAGAAAGGGAGTGCTTAGATATAACTTCACTTAAAAACTATGAGCTAGAGGATCTTTTCTTACTAATTCAAATTGGCTTTTCCCTAGATAGTCCAAATTTTTGCGTAGTTGCATTGTGTTTATTGCATCCTTTATGGCATTTGAGCTCTGAATTAATTCTGTGAAACCAAATGAAGTTATAATTTTAAAGGGATAAAGAAATATGCAATCATTGTTTGTTGTCTCTGGTCATGTTTTCAGGCACACAGTCCCTACAGTCTTATGGAAGAATGCTCAAGGAAAGGACCAAGTATGGTATGAGGATACATTGGCTTCTAACCATCCTATCATTCTTTATTTACATGGAAATGCAGGCACTAGGTAAGAATGAAATGAATCAGTTATAAACATACATCGACACCTCTTTTTTGGTTGATGGCTTAAACTGATGTGGTGAACATTGTTGGTTCCAGGGAGAGTTACTTTTGCTCTCAGTCCTGCTTGTTGAAAGGGGGAGAAAGTTAAGTCCACCTTCACAAAGGTTTCAGGAAAGTGAAACCAGGGAAGTCTGAAAGATGATGAAAAAGTATGACCCATAATAATTAAAAGACACACCTGAAGTAATTGTGTAGTTTAATCCAGTATTGAGGAGGTGACTGGGAAGGGAAATAAAAGAAAAATGCAAATGCAGGGAAAATGAAGGATAGAAAATACATAAAGGAAAAAGCCAAGTTTGAGGAATTATAAAAGAGGTATTTAGTGTCTATTCAGATTATTGTACTTGGCTACAAGATAAGCAATTAAAATGCACATGACCAGCATAGAAAGTGCACATTGTATATTAATTAGAATTGGCATGCCAAAATTGGCTTTGAACACTTATTTCCACGTGCATATCCTTAAGGGAAATGTCATGATGCAGTGGAAAGAAGGAGGAAAGGCACAAATATTTATTAAGTGCCTACTATGTGCTACCAGGTACTGTGCTAAGCACTTTATGAATATTATCTCATTTAATCCTCATAACGAGCCTGGAAATGTAAATGGAAAGAATTCAGGATTTAGAATCAGCAGATCTGGGTTTGCAACCCAGTGCTGCTACTGATTACCTATATGACCTTGGGAAAAGTCACTTTTCCTCCCTTGGCCTCAGTTTCCTCATCTATAAGTAAATAAGAGGGATGGACCAAATGACCTCTCAGGTCTTTTCCTGGTCAAAATCTATGATGATTTGATCTGGAACTCATATAAGTTTAAACTGAATTCTTTCTTTTAAACAAAGTGAAGCAGAATTCCTATAACTCTATGTAATGTAAATGGCCTGCGTCTATGTGTTTAAAAAAAATTTAGATAAAGTCTATTTTATATTGTGGTGTGAATCTATGATTACTTTAAATATGATCTAGATTAACTTCGGCACTGCTACTGTAGGTCGGTTTTTTTCACAAGAAACAAATTATGGGATAAGCAAGGAAATGAGTAGTTATAAATTACTCTGGCACTCGCGAACACTGTGTGTGGTGTTGCACAATATGAGACCAGTTAGGCATGAGGATTGAGAGCTGGGGGAGGGAGACTGGAAGAGAGAGAACAATTGTAAGGGGCCTTTCTGTAGGAGGGAAGTGGGGCACAGTAGGTATCTTATTGTTGGCTGCCTATAGAGTTTGGCATTTCAGAAAGAACCATAGAAAACATGCAACCCTCATGACACATAAGAACAGAGTTTTAAGCTATGAAAATGGAATGCTGCCCTTCTGAATCGTGGACGCACTTCCCAATTTGTTTTCCTTTTTGGGCAGGACCAGGGCAGTGGGCTAATTTTCCTCTTTTTGAGGGAATGCATAGTTTAAAATAGTTTTTGCTTTATCTTCTTTCTCTGTGTTTAAGGAGATGCACAGTTTACTACCAACCAACTTGATGTTTTACAGTCAAACAGCATGTGTTTATTAAGCACTTTCTATGAGACAGGAGCTATTGCCAGCCACTGGGTATACAAAGAAAAAGCAAAAATAGTGCCTGCCCTCAAAGAGATTTCTTTTTAATTGGAGAGACAATATGGACGTAATTAGGTATTCGTAGAAAATACAGCGTAGATCATGTTGCTAATTGCATAGTAAAGGAGATTAATTCGATTCTGAGAGAAAAGGCTTCTTAGGTTTATGAAGATGAAATAGTGGTTTTGTTTTTTTTTTCTTTCTGCTCCCTAACTCAGACTGAAGGAAAGGAAGGAAAGAAGAGCTTGGTTTCTGTTGCAAGTGGTACAACTTCAACATTGTCTCATTCTCAAGACTTTTTCCTATTTCCCTCTTTCCCCTTTTGCTCCTCCTCTTCCTAACCCCCCTGTTTCTTACTTCACATTGTGATTGCTATCTTGTTCCTTTCCCTTCTATCTATAGATATATCTGGCTCTCTACTATCTTAAACCATCTGTCACTCCTGCTTTCAAATGCCAGTCTGTTTCATTCATTTCACCATCAGATTTCTCATACAACTGGTCAATACTTCTTCTTTTCCTCAATACCCACTTACTCCCTTGCAAACTTAGCTTCTATTTTACTATTATATTGAAGGTCACAAGTGGCCTAATCACTACAAATCCAAATACCTTTTCTCAGTCCTTAATTTATTGAACTTCTTTGGTAATCAGATGTACTTCCAGGGATACAATGAACACCTTTATTTATTTTTTAATTTTTTGGGGGGAGGCAATAAGGGTTAAGTGACTTGTTTAAGGTCACACAGCTAGTGAGTGTCTGTGTTCAGATTTGAACTTGGGTCCTCCTGACTCCAGGGCTGGTGCTGTATCTACTGTGCTACTTAGCTGCCCCTAACCTTTGTTTTTAAATGACTCCCAAATCTGTATCTCCAGTCCCACATTTCCAGTTGCCTATTAAGTATCTCTACTGTCATGTCCTTCTATCATGTCATATAGTACAATACCATAAACATTTATTAAATGCCTACTGTATGCCAGATGCTGTGCTACGCTCTGGGGATACAAATAAGAAAAAGAAAGAGTTATTGCTCTCAAGGAGTTACAGTCTAATGGGGGAAGATAAACCCCTCCCAAAAAAAATGCTGAAAAGAGGCAGGAGGGCCAGCAAGGGGTATGAAGTTCCATGGAGTCAAATCCAAGCAGAACTACTGGTAGAAAATGGAGAGTTACCTGAAAGAGTTATGAAAGTTCTGAGCATTCTATAAAGGAAACCTTGGGAGGAATTTATTGCTCTTTCCTCCAGTCCTCCAATCAGAGGGCATTCAATGTGGCTAAAACCTACCTCATTATCTCCCTTCTTCTCAGTTTTATCTTCTCCTCTGATCATATTTCTTTGAATGGTACCATATTATTCTCAATTACCTAAGCTGTGACATTGGCATAGTTGACTTTTCCTTGTCCACATTCCCCTCTAATAAACCAAACAAAGTATTGATTATTTCTTTCAAGATGGCTCCCATATGATCCTGGGCTGCTGTCCTACACAGAACCATTTTTTTTTTTAAAAGACATGTTTATTGATGCCTTTTTTTCTCCCTGGATCCTACCTTATGTCAAAGAAGTACAACAAATCACACATTGGCCGTAAAACTAATCTTCTCAGCCATCCTTTGTTCTCAGGAACTGCTGCTCAAAACCCCTCAATGCCTCCCTTTACTCATAGGACAAAATCCATACTCTTTTTGCCTGGCATTTGAAGCTCTCCAGAATTAGCCCCAGCTTACTTTTCTACCCTTATGCTCCAGTGTTCTCCTACACAAAACCTCTGTAGCTTTCCTAAATCATCATCTCTCAAACAGGCCTTATGCTTCCCTATGTTTATACTTGTGAACATGCAGTTCCATCTGTCTGGATTGCCCTCACCCTCTCACTCAAACCCTACCACACCTTTACTATTTATTTGCAAATTGATTATGTACTGCTTTGGGGCATCTCTTCTTGTGTTGTCTTGAATGGATTGTTATTATTCAATCCTGCATTATTATAACTTTTCCTGTGTCCTGTTGCCTCAACAACCAAATTATTAAATAAATTCTTTGATGGCCCGAGACCTTGTTTTATATTTTTGAGTTCCCATTGTATCTACTTTAAAGTACCCTGTAGCAGAGTCAGTATTCAGTAAATACTTGGTTGATTTTCAACTCTGTGGCATGGCTGAACCCCCAGTATCCTGTGGGGAGGGAATATATGCTCTACATTGCTTACAGTAGGTACTCAAAAGTTTGATTATGATAAAAGACATCATACTACAGTGCTTTAGAGTTTACAAGGTATTTTTCACATGTTATTAATAACAATAACAACAATAATAATAGCTAGAATGTTTAGGCTTACAAAGAGCTTTACAAACATTATCACAATAATCTAGAGAGGTAGTTGCTATTATTATGCCCATTTTATAGATGAAGAAATTAAGGAAGGTAGAGATTAAGGGTCACACAGCTTATAACAGGGGTTGGGAAACACTTCCTGTAAAAGATGGAATTTTAGTTGAAATGTAAAGGAATCCAGAGAAGTCAAGGCAATGTTGAGGAGGGAAAGGGACAGCCACAAAGATGCCCAGAATTATGGGTCCAAGGCTGTATTTCATCTCAATTCTTCTTGACTCCAGGTCTAGCTCTCTATCCACTGTGCCATCTAGCTGCTTCACTATATTTGAGCTTGGGGACAGCTAGGTTGCACAGTGGATAGAGCACCAGCTCTGGAGTCAAGAGAACCCACAGTGGATAGAGCACCAGCTCTGGTGTCAGGAGAACCCAAGTTCAAATGTGGCCTCACACAATTACTAGCTGTGTGACCCTGGGCAAGTCACCTAACCCCGATTGCCTCAAAAAAAAAAGTTACATTTGAGCCTCACTATAGCAAAATAAGGTAGTTAAGGTAGGATAAGTATTATTATCATCAGCCCTGTTTCAATGGATGAGGAAACTGGTGCCCAGACAGATTGTGACTTCTTCAAGTTTGGTTTATACTAAACTTCTCTGTTCCTCAATTTCTTCATCTGTAAAATAAGAGAGTTGGTCTTGATGGCCTCCAAGGGCTCCTTTCATGTCTAAATCTACCAGAAGGTAAGTGGCATAATTCCAATCCTTATATGACTTTTATAAAAAGGAAGCCACCATATGAAATAATAATGTCTGCTTTTTATACAGCACTTTAAGGTTTCCAAAATGCTTTATATACATATGAACCTCTCAACAACCTTTTAAGGTAGGTGCTTTTTTATAGATGAGGAAACTAAGTCTCAAAGAGGTTAAGTGACTTTGACTTACCTAAGGTCAAACAACCAATAAGTATCCAAGGTAGGCTGCCTGCTCCCAATCCATCCAGCAATCTTTCCACTATACCATGCTGCCTCCAGAATGGAGGTATCCCTGCAGTGAAA